TTCTGTGGAGTGGAAGCCAGGGAAGGCAGCAGCTGTGGCCTCAGTACGTGGAGGCAGAGCCTGCTCCCTCCTGCACCCACGGCCCCGCCAAGAGGCAGTAAAAACTAGTCGCGCAGTCCCTTGTCAGACTGTGATTGCCCCGAGCACTGCATCGAGGGGTAGGCACCCCCAGAAGGGCTCCCTGCCTCACAGTTCCTCAGAGGCCTGTATCTGACCAGAAGCACAGATTCTCTCCTTCAGAGAGACCTGATGGTAGGGGGGCAGGGACCCTACCTAGAAGGGGAGGAAGAAAGAGGAGGGCTCAGGAGGGGACAGAATGCAGACTCTGGGATGTTTCAGGGACACTGCCAAGGCTAACTTCACTGTGACCGCTGGGTGTGCATGCGGCAGGATTTGGGGGGAGTTCATCTGGAGCTTGGAGGCCGTGGGCAGAGGGCATGTCCGGATGCTTGAAGGGCAGGGAGAGAAAAGCAGGTACTAAGTCCTTTGTCAAATTCAGAGTGAATCTGGGAGAGTTCTCCTCATCCTCTTTGTTTTAAAGTCTTGGGTAGAGGAAGCAAGAGGGAGGCAGGGACATCCTAATACTACTACAGGGGCGGGGGGACTGCTGTCTGGGACACCTGGCTGGCTCAGTCAGTAGACTGTGCCACTCTGGATCTCAGGGTCCTGAGTTCAAACCCCACGTTGGGTGTAAAGCTTAGTTTAAAAATAAAAGTAAAAAAAAAGAAAAATGGTACCAAGGGGGTAACTACAGTCTGAGGTCCTTATCTTGCCCCATTGCCTGGATCTACTAGGCCCTTCCTCCATGAGCACCATCCCGAGCCCTGAGACTTCCTGTGACAGAGGGTTTCAAGGAACCTCTGGCCCCCTCAGGGGGAGTGGATCTTAGCAGGACAGCCACTAGCCCCTTTAAGCCATTAGTCCCCCCGGGGTGCCTGGGGGGATGGTAGGGGATGAGGTGTGGAGCTTGGCAGGGACTCTAGGGACCAAGGCCTTAAAGAGCAGAGAGCAGATCAGGGGCTGGACTCTTCTCAAAGCCTCCAGAACTTGGCTCATTCAACTCTCTAGTGCTTGCCAGAAATGTGAGGACCTGTGGGTTGACTGTGAGGGACAGTCAACTGTCCCTCACAGCTGGGGACAGAGGGACTGTGATGGACAGAGGGGTGTCAGTGTTCCCTAGAGCCCATCCTCAGGCATCGGGGTCCTCAAGCACCATTTCTGCGCTCACTGCCCCACCCCCCGCCTGCTGCCCTCTCCATATACACCCTCCACACACCATCCTCTATGAGAGAGTGTAAATTGCTTGTCATTCGGCAAATAGCAGCCCACCTGGCTTGTATTTTTACCATGTACAAAAACACTGTAGAGAAGACAATAGAGAAACCTCTTGTCTTCTCTGATCCTTGCTATAGTATGGTGAGGTAATAGGGTCAGGGTACACTCAGAAGAGGAAACCAAGCCCCAGTGAAAGTTTTTGTTTTTGTTATTTTCAACGGTTTAGCTCTGGTTCACATGGTTAGTGCCTGAACCAAAGGTCAGGCTGTCCAGTGAGAGCTTCTGCTGTGTTCTAGATGGTGTGTGTTACATTTTCTAAATCTGCAGCAGCCCTCCATTATCCCCATGCCATCGACAAGACAAATGAGGCTCAGAGAGATCAGGCGACATCCTCAAGCTGACAGGGACAGAAATGGGTCTCCTGTCCTGTTGGGACACCTCATCCAGTGCTCATTCCAAGGTACTGGCAGAAGTGACTTAACTGCTTTGGGGGAGGGGGGCGGGGGACCTGAGGTGCATTGAAAGCTGGAGATAGGCCTCTGCTCCCCAAAGTCACAAGCTGTGATTTTGCTTTTATGGAAGCCCTGTAGGAAATGGGTGACTTGGGAAAGATGGGGTGCCCCCTCCCTAGCAGGGAGCCAGGGGGACGTCATGGGGACAGAGCCAAACCAGGTCTCTATTCCTCTGAAGTTTGGGTTCAGGTCTCAACCTGAGGGGTGGGTACAAGAGAAGTGCTTGGGGGGCTCTCTGGGAAAGAGGGTCCCAGCCCTGACGGGTTGGAAAGAGAAGAGAAGGAGGAAAGGTAGGCAGGCCCTGTTCTTCCAGCTTCTGCTTGAGGTCAGGGAACATCTAGAGACACGCTCTGGCCACAGAGCCACAGAGAAGCAGGTGGAGGCCTGAGCAGATGTCTGGGCCAATCAGGGGTCCCCTGTACCTGCCAGGGAAGTGGGCCAGGTGTGAGGCGGGGCTCCATGCCAGGGAGAGTATTAAATGAGCTTCCAGCTTATTTGCATATCCTAATTAACCATAAAATGAGCCCCAGGGGCAGAATTAAGCTGTCAGTTTCCCTCTGCTTCCACTACCTCCCCCTCATCCCGCTGCTCCCCACCCCTACACCTCCCTGCATCGCTTAGGTCCCAGGCATTCCCATTCACCTCTCCCCTCAGCTTCAGTGAAATACAGTCTCCATCCTGTCACAACAAAAGCCCAGAAAAAGAAGGAAAAGGAAAAGGTGGTGGTGGTGTTGGTGATGTGTGTGTGTGTGTGTGTGTGTGTGTGTAAAAGAACTGGCCATAGCCTTTCATTAGCAAAGCATGACCTCGTGATGAGGGCATTACACCAGCCCAGTCAAGACCAGGGCAGAATTCCCCCCACCGGACAGTGAGCATTCCATTTATTATCCATGCATGGATAATATGGGGAGGACAGGTTTTGTTGTTGTTCCTCTTGACTTGGCTTTTGGAGCAGAAAGGGACACTTCATGGGGTAGTGTGAAAAACACAAGGCTGGAAGTCCATCGGGACCATTTCAATCCCAGCTCTGCTGTGGTGACCTTGGGCAAGTTGCTCAGCTTCTCTGAGCATCTCCATGTACAGTGAGAGGACCAGCAGCCACTCCCAGAGTGTGGTTGAGAAGGAAATAAGAATGCAAAGACGGCGGGTGCCTGATGCCTGTGAGTTCTGTTGGCGGCAAATGTCACTCCTGTTTTGTTCTGGCTCCGAGTTAAAGTGAGTTTTCATGCCCTTGGAACCCTTCTGGCCAACCGATGGGTTGGGAGTTGCTTCTTCTCACTGAACCCCTTGGGCTGGGAACCGGGTCCTATTCCTTGCTGTTTTTAGGTCCTGTCGCGGTGCCTGGCACTGGGAGAAGTTCAACAAAGTTTTGTTAAATTGGTCTGGATTGCGATGACCCGTCCACAGAACAGATGAGTCACAGATGAATGGCCAAGAAGGGACCTGGTTTCCTGTGGAATCATTCTGGATGAAGAGCTTGGTGACTTCACCACGGCCCAGTGGGAGGAATCTTCTCTCCCTCCCTCAAACACACACACACACACACACACACACACACACACTTGAACCCACATGCACCGCCCCACCCCCCAGCAAGGCAGCCACAGCCGGTGGGCTTTCCCCCAGCACTGAACTGGAGAGACAGGAAGGATGAGCAGGGTCTCGCTCTTCCAGAAAGGGACGGCTCACCCGGCAAACTCCAGGGAGAGTAGAAAAGGCCGTTTTGCAGCCAGACAATGCTGTTTCAAATCATGGTTCTTCCATTCGCTAAAAAGCCCCATCTGGGGAGCCTGGATGACCCCTAAGGGCTTCCACTGATTTACTGGGAAGGCAATCCTTCAGGGGGTCATTCTGCAGTTTGAAAGGCATGGTTCTGCACACTGCCTGGCAAATAGCGAGCACTGGAGAAAATAAATAAAATTAGCACCTTCTGTCTGGTAGCCTCCGCCACCAAGAACTAAGCATCTCCCATGTGATTGAGTGGGGCTCTGAGAGTGGCCCTAACTGGCCCCGACCCCAGCTGTGGAGCTGCTGTCCTAAGCCTCCTCCCTCCTCCATTTCAGTCTCCAAGGGTCCAGGATGCAGGAAGAGCCTTTCTTGTTATTTTTCTCCTCCAATTTGCTGTTAATGCTCCGAGGGCGGGAAGGCGGCTCGCCTCTAATTGCAGCTGTCACCCCCCATCAGGCGGATGGGAGCTCAGCCCGGAGGGGCGAAGGGAGGAGACGGGGAGGGCTTGCAGGGCGGGCCCGGCCCAAACAGAGAGCCACATTGTCTCTTCCCAGCCAGCGGGCGTTCCCGGCGGGCGGGAGCCCGGCAGCTCCCCAGGGAGCGCGGAAGGCCACGTGCGCCCCTCCAGGAAAGCTCTAGGCGCCCCGGGCTCGGAGCGGAGCTGGCGCCCGCCTGGCCCTTCCCCTTCCCCGCCGCCGCCGCCGGCGGTCTGGTCCAGCGAGACGGGGGCCTCCGCGTCCAGGACTGAGGGAGGCCGCGGGGGTGAGGAATCCAAAAGGGGCGCGATTCGAAGGGGCGCACCTTCGCCTTGCTGGGGGGCCTCCGTGGGCTGTGTCCAAGTGCGGGTTGGGTGCTGGAGGCGGGGTGCTGGGGAAGGAGCGCGTGTGACTCCAACGCCCAGCGGCTGCCCTTCCTGACAGACCTGCACTGGCCTGCCTCCTGCCCGCAGGTGGCATATCTAGGCTGGCTTCCTTCCCTGGAAAATGGGATAATAACTGCCCTCCTTGCTTACTCCAAAGGAAATAGTGGATATGAAAAGGCTTTCCAACATTTAAAGTGCTTTACCAGTATCTTTCCTGTGCTTTTGAAAAAACATGGGGTATCTCAAGCCCTCCTGTAGGTACACTCCTTATTCCGCCCATTTGTCAGGACCCGGCTGAATGGGCTGAAATCTTAAAGGCAACAGGGGTGGGGGTGGAAAGTTCCTCTCTGTTGATCCCAGTCCCAGGAGGGCCTGGATTTCATGCCTGTACCTGGGGCAGTGCTTCGCCAAGGAAGCCAATGGTTATAAGGTTGAGACCACAAAAGATAGGTCTTTATTGGGGGCCTCTTTGGGGGAACCTGAGACCCCAGTGCCCTGATCCATACAGAATGTTCAGCTGAGGTCTTTGGGGGCCCTGAAGGAATGTCAGGATTGCCTGGTCTCCTCTCCCTGCCAGTCATTGTCACCTGCAGCCCCAAAGTGAGCACTTGTCTCTCTCTCTCTCTCTGTCTCTTTCAGTCTAGGAGCCCTCCCCTCCCACCAGCCAGCCCCCACCACGGCCTCTCTCAGCCACACATCTGTCAGCCCTACTCCAGACACTCTTGCTGCTTCTCCCTCCTTTCTCGAGGAAAGGAACTCGGAGTCAGGCTTTCAAAAGCCACAGTGCCCACATGGCATCTTCCCAGGGCCCAACACCGACACCTGGACCTTTTGGGTTCAGTCAACTTTCTGTCTCTAGGACTCAGACCCAAACAGCTGTGTTAATATCAAAGCCAGAAGGTGAGGGTTCCAGGGCCTTGGGGCAGCTTGTGGAAGGACTTTCCCCCCTTCTGGGCTCTGCAGGGCCTGGGAAGGGGAAACGTCCAGAGCCCTTGGAATGGCTCCGCTTCTTGACCTTGTGTGAGCGGGCGGCCCTGGGCTCCGAGGCCGTGGGCGTCACCCAGCCCGGCTTCTCCTTCAGCAGCCTATCTCGGTCGGGCCGCACACTGCGCAAGAACTTCCTAAAGATGTTTGCCGTGAGGGCAAACCTGCGGCCCAGCTCCCGGGACGGGCCCTTCTCCCCTTTGGGCTCCCCTGCCTCTCCTTTCTCCCCACCCTTCTCCAGTTCTGGCAAGTCCAGCCAGTTGCCCACAAGGTCCGCAAAAACGTTGTCGCCTAGTACCAGAGGTTGGCGGTTGCGGCCCCGGGACATCAACGTGGAGGTCCAGTCTTCCGGTTCCACCGGCTCTCCCCCCGGCCGGGCCCCGCTTCGGTGCTCTGGTAGCTGTGCCCTGGCCAGGGGGTCCGGATCCCGCCCGCAGACACTCCTCTGGGATGTACACTTGGCGCCCAGAGAAGGTTGGTTGGAAGGGGAGCAGGCTGAAGGCCTGGCAGGAACTCTGCCACCCTCCCATGGAGGGGGCTCGGGCTGCGTCTGCGGGCTTTCCGAGCAGCCGCGGGCAGGACTCCCTCCGGAGACCTCCAGCTGTTCCAGTGCCGCCTGCACCTGCAGAAGCTTCAGTTCTTGCAGCGCCCCCATCATGCTGTTCATCTGATCCTGGAGGCCATCACCCACCTCCTTCATGGACATCTGCAGGCGAGAGGGAAAGCGCAGGCCCGTGAGCCGCGGGGACTGGGGGAAGGGCTGCCCTTCACCGGCTGGAACCTAGACCCCCCACTGCCCACACATGTACCGCCGCCCACTGACCCCACCTCCACCGGGCCCAGTGCAGAGCAGCTCAGAGCCGGGAGAGGAGGAATCTTAACGCAGACACGGCTGGAGAACAGAAGGATGAACGGCAGCGAACATGCTAAGGCGGACGCTGTCCTCAGCCACATATATGTGAATATAGATAACACAGGGATCAGTTAAGCTGTCTTAAAGAAAAAAATTTTATTTGTTTATTTATTGACTTGAGAAAGAGGGAGAGCACAGAAGGAGTGGGAGAGGGAGAAGCAGACTACCCGCGGAGCAGGGCGCCTGATGCAGGGGCTCGATCCCAGGACTCCAGGATCATGACCTGAGCCGAAGGCGGATGCTTCACTGACTGAGCCACCCAGGCGCCCCCAGCTGATCTGCCTTTAATCTCAGCAACCAGTCTGTGAGGTAGGGACTGGTCTCGTTGCCAAGTTACACATGAGGAAGAGGAGGCACGGAAGTTGCTCAAGGTCACCTGGACATAAGAGGTGGACCTGAGACCAGTTCAAGGGGGCACGCGGTCGTGGTGGCCATCCTTGTCCTTTCATGTACTGTGTCCTCTTCTCCCCGAGCCTCCCCGAGATGATGACGATGATGGCCACGATGGTTTGCGAGATTTTACTATGTAACAGGAATTGAGCTAAGTGTTCTAGGCCTGTCACCTCTTTGGATCTTCATATAAACCTTATGAGTTTGCTATTACTGCTCTCATTTTAACAAGTTAGCCCTTGGGTGGGGCGGGGTTTGTGTGTGTGTGAAGTAACCTGCCCAAGGTCATGCACGCCCAGCTCATGCTGCTGGGACTCAAACACAGGACGCCTCACTCCAAATGTTCTGACCCTAACTAAATGACCAAGCCTGCTTCAAGATGGTGGGGCTGGGGAGCTGGGCTTTGAGGCTACTCTGCCCTCCGAGAGGCAGTGGAGAAGGGTGGAAAGGGATGTGAGGGCAAGAGAAGGAGCTCAGATTCCCGAAGATAAAGGGTAGGCTGGGGGCTTCCTTTCACTGCCGTGCACATCTGGCCAGTCAGGAAAGAGAGCTAGATTTCCACCACTCTTCCCACCCCTTCTCTGCCCTCCAGACACCTGTCCTCCCTCAGCTGCTCTTAGACTTGGCTCCCATGCTCTTCCTGCCTTCTCAGCCCAACTGGCTCCACGGCTCGGGCCAAGAGTGGGGACACCGGAGGCCAGCTCCCCTGTCCCTTTGTGGGCGTCTAAGGCCCGGGTCCCAGGTGCCAGCTGGAAGGGACTGAGAGGCTGACTTGGGTGAGGGCCGAGTTTGGAGGCTGGGCAGGGGATGCGTGGTCTGATAACATTCACAGTCCAAGCTGCCTTGGTCCCGCCAGCTCCCTCCCCAGATCTGCTCATGTTACCAATAGCAGACCTCGAGTGAGGGGACCATCTGTTTCTTAAGCCCCCCAGAGACCTGCTGGGATCGTCTTACCTCCCAGCCTGGTCCTAATGCACAGAACTAAGCCCACAGGGCAGAGAGCTGGAGGGATCGGGAGCGGAGGGGCAGAGGCGCTCAGGACAGCACTGGCAGCTGACCCTTTTAGGCTCTGGGTCAAGCCCTCCCCTGTCCATCTCAGCCCTGACAGGGGCAGGGCACCACACCGGGCTCTCCTGAGCCAGTGGCACTGACGCCCGGAGGACTAACTGTCCCTGCTGGCAACCCTGGGATTTGCCGGATTGCCCTGGCGAGCTCTCTCCGTTTGAGTGGTGGCTACAGCAGGGAGAGATGCAGCCTGGGAGGTGGCCGTGCTTGCCGATGGCCCCTTGCTCTGACCTCTTTGGCTTCCAGCCTCCTGGCCCCTTCTCCTTTTGGAGCATCTGGGAGGACCCAGGGCAGAATCCGAGCAGACCCTAAGCCTCAAACCAAACTCCTCCAGGTCTCTAACTGCAGACTGCTTCTCTGACTTCCCTTTTTCTGCCCCCTCCTTCATACCCTTTTCCTCCTCACCCCAACTGGGATGTCAGAGTCCCTTTTGGCTGTTCTACCCAGTGCCCCTATTCCTATCCCCAGATGTCTCACATCTGCTTTTCTGTCTCCTGGAACGCAGAAGCCTCCTGGAAGGCCTTCCGGCCACCAGATCAGTCTTCCCAGCACGCTCCTGTGATCATGTCACTCAGAAGCGTCTCTCTGTCCCCCACACTGCTATCAGAACCTTTTCAGGGACACAACTCAAATGCCCTTCCCTCGAGTGCTACTCTCCTCCCCGCCCTGGCATCCTCATATGTGTAAAGGCTCAGTTGTTCTCAAAACATTCATTGAGCGTCTACCATCGAGGGCAGGAGTGGAGATCTACGCATGGTTAGGTCTCCCCAGAACCTCGCTAGCATCTTACCGCTGCCATACACCCAGAAAACAGAGTACCCCTGAACGCCCCAAGTCATCTCTCCAGCCCTGCTGCCCTCAGGCAGTAACACACTCCACAGGGGGGCAAGTCAGGGATGTGGTTCAGGGCTTCATTTCACCAACGGGCCAGGACTCTGAGCTTGCAGGCTTCCCTCCAGAAGGCTGGAATGCAGTCCAGGTCAGAGGCAGTGGGAGGAATGAAATGACCCCATTCAATCTCTTCCAGTATGGAAAAATCCCGAAGAAATAATGCTGACATTTTGTACGGTTTTCCAGTGAGAATGAATGTGTGCGTATGTATGAATTCGGGCCGGCCCATAAAACAGAGGCCCCATTTAAATAAACAAGAGGTGAAATTTTACTCCTATGGAAAATCATACTCTGCACTGGTTAAGGTCTTGGGTTCCAGAGACAGATGGCACAGGGTTCAAATCCCAGCTCGGCCACATAGTAGAACCTGTGTGACCTGGACAGGCTATTTAAATTGTTTTTCAGTTTCTCTGTTCTTCCACATGGGAATAAGAGTTTCTGCCTCATACAGCTCTCGTCAGATGAGGCAAGGTCACTGTGTTTACGTGTGGCCTGGAGGTGAGTTCTGGTGGTTATTGTAAGACTTCCTAAGAACGTCCAGAACACTTCTTCCTCAGTGGAGCTTAGCACGTAGTAATAATAGGACTCCATTCATCTACCCGGTCCAATCAAGGAGAAACACATCTCTTGTCCTGTCTCTTCTGCCCCACCCCTGCCCCCCACAGAGGGAGTACCGGGGAAGGAAAGGGAAGCCCCACATCCTCTTGTCCATTCTCAGGACGGCTTGGTTGGCCAGCCACAGTGCTGACACTGAGGGCAGAAGGCAGCTGTGAGAGGGAAGACCAGAGGAGAAGGAAGTGAGGGAAGTGGGGAGGGTCAGGGGAAGTGGGGAGGCCGGAGCATCAGCTGGGTGTTGACTGAGAGAAAGCTGCCTTTCCCAGCCCCAAGGGGAATGATGTCACCCAGGGAGAAAGAGCCAGAGGGCAAGCTACTGTCTTCTTCTGGGGCGTGGGACCTTCTCAGATCCCAGGGTTTCTCTTGCCTCAGGAACACAAGAGGGAGGAGTGTGGGCTGGGAGCAAAGGAGAGGGGCCAAATCAGAGAAGGTCCCAAACTAGATATTATCGACACTAAATCCCAATCCCCAAACTGCGGGGGCTGAGTTCCTCTCTGGCCTCCCAGTGCCAAAGCCTCAGGTCCTTCCTCAGGACAGGGACGCAATCCTGCCCAGCTTGCCCTTAGGGGCCAGTTGGAAAAGTCCTTAGAGGGTCTACTGGTTCTGGTTAGTCTGAACGAGAGTGGATCTAGCAGCCTGCCCTCTGTCCAACCCTAGTCATGCTCGCTGACGCGCACACATGCCAGAGCGGACCTGCTCCACCATCGGACATACTACCCCTAACAGCACATCACAGAGACGGGTGGGGGTCTCCTTGCTGAGAAAGATCGTGAAGGTCTCACCACCCTCCTTGCAAGACCCCATATGCTCACCAGCCATCTCCTACCTCCTTGACACTTCCTGGGCCTCAAAATGTTTCATCCTAAAAGTTTTCTTTCATTTATTCATTTGTCAGTGAGAGAGAGAGAGAGAGAGCGAGCGCATAAGCAGGGAGAACAGCAGGCAGAAGGAGAAGCAGACTCCCCACTGAGCAAGGAGCCTGACTCGGACCTGATCCCAGGACCCTGGAATCATGACCTAAGCCAAAGGCAGGCGCTTTAACCAACTAAGCCACCCAGGCCTCCCTTCGAAGTTTTCTTCACATCACACTTCAGTGTCTCCCGATGCCGTTCAATCTTTCTCTGTGTGTGAGAGCTGGATGGCCCCTGGGCACCCCGCACGGGATCCTAGCTGCCTAACTCAGAGGAGTCCGGCCAGCCGTCAAGTGATAAGCTCTTTCCTCCCGCCTCGTCGGACCCCCAAAGTTACTCTGGCAGACTGGGGACCACACGGTACAGAATAAGAAACGGGATCTGAGATGTTCATTTTCTCCCCCGATGTCCTTCCCTAGACCGCCTTCACGGTTTTCACCAAATCCACGTAGGACCTCCTTCCCTACTTGATGGTGCATGTACGTCTGTTCGTCTAAATAAACCGTCTTTAGGCAGGAACTTACATGAAGTGCATATACTTGTCATAAACAGATGGTGACTATCTAAAACTACAAGTTTTTCATCGGAGCGTCGCGTAATGTCACCCAGAGGGCCTCTGGTGCAAAGGCGGATCTATGGCCTGGGGTCCGAGGCGTCTTCGTGGGAGGACTGGGACCCCAAGCCTGGCCCTCTTACTCCAGTCCAGTGGGCTCCTCGTGCCATCACGATGTGGCTTCTCAGCCCCATGGGGCTGTTGTGAGAAAAAACCAGGGTAGTCAACGCGACATGCAAAGCACAATTATCATCCCTTGGGGAGAAAGCGCACGAAGCCTTGGAGGGGCTCCAAGACTCAATTCAGCTGCTTTCCCCTGACGGCGCCTCTTCACTGAATCATCTGAAGGAAGAAGGGCCGTCTGTCTG